CATCGATCTTCGCATCGCGATGTAAAACAAAATGTCGGAAAACTTTTCTTTGACGCATGCGCATTTGCATAAATGTCTACACACACACACACTACACACAATAAAAAACATAGGAAATAGCAAAAAGTGATTACAATAGTTCCTATTGCATTACATGCATAGGAACTAAAAAGGAAATAAATTGTGATTTTACAAATAAAATTTAAAAATGACAGCAAAAAAACTATATATAAATATAAAAAAGATAAATATCTTGCATAAAAAACACTTAAAATCGGTAAAGAAAAGCCAAGAATGTATTTGACAGGATACAAAGCCTACCTGGTGGTGATATAACAAAGCTTTCAGTGTCGGAAACAACAGATTCTTGATCAATCTTCTTACTATCTGTAAAATTAATTTAGGATTGAGACTAGGACAGAGTAGTGATTTCATTGAAATAGCTCTAAAAAGTAAAATACAATGATTACAGTTTGTCCTTTCAGGAACAAGAATACCTGTCAATTGATAACATGTATTTAAAAAACAATAACTGTGTAATTGAGAAAATAAATACCTCACCTGGTGGTGATCTAGCAAAGGTATCAATGTCTGAAACAACTGATTCTTGGCAATCTTCTCACCATCTGTCAAAAGAATTTAGGGATAACAAGGGCAGCGTAGCAATTTCATTGAAATAAAGTTTTTAATTTATACTCTGTAACCTTTAGGTAATGTAATATTTGATGACAAAGAAAATAATTTAAAAAAACTGTCTTTAATCAAAATACCTAATAATATTTAATACTTTATTGTCAGCCAGCTAAAATTACTGTACATCATTTAAAACTAAAAATACACTTAAAAAGGAAAAGAGATTTTTGAGATTTTACAATTAAATATAAAAATTACGGCAAAAAACTACAGTATATGTAAATGTAAAATGTAAATAACTTGCACAAAAAACACTTACAATCGGTAAAGAAAAACCATAAAATGTATTTTAGAGGATACAAAAGCCTACCTGGTGGTGATATAACAAAGCTTTCAGTGTCGGAAACAACAGATTCTAGATCAATTTTCTTACTATCTGTAAAATGAATTTAAGATTGAAACTACGACAGAGTAGTGATTTCATTGAAATAGCTTTAAAAAGTAAAATACAATGATACAGTTTGTCCTTTCAGTTATGAACAAGAATACCTAGCAAAATTTTACATCACAAAACGTTACATTGCATAGGGCCTAAGACCCAAAAACGAAAAGTCCTGTTGCTTTTCTCTTTTATTCACTTTGTTTTTGTTTTAAAGGCACCTTTATTGCATATATTTAAAAAACACATGTAGCTCAGACTAACAAAAAATGGTTTTGAAACCACACATAAAACCACACATTTTTTTTCTATTGTAAATGTTTTAAAAAGTGCACTTGACATTTCCAAAAGCCTAACCTGGTGGTTGTATAGAATCATTGACTAGTGCTTGGTCAACATTTTCACTATCTGTAAAATCAATTTATGGATAAAATTAACACAGGTAGTGACAAATAATGAAACAAAGTTTAATTCTTTAAATTATTCTATGCAACATTTAGGTTACATAATAGATGAAGAATAAAGAATGCACAAAAAACCAAATATAAAACAAACTACTAACATTTATAACATGAGTTTATAAAGTAATAAAGTGTATAATTAATAATGAAATTTGAACAGTGTGGAGATTTCATCAAAATGTGGTAATTTATTCGTTTAAAATTTAGATGAGTTGTGCTAAATAAAAAAAATAAAAAAAAGAAGACAAATAAATAATATTTATAATATGTATTTATTAAAACAATAAATGTGTAATTGAGAAGATAACCGCCTCACCTGGGGGTGATCTAGCAAAGGTATCAATGTCTACATATTCTTCATCAATCTTCTCGCCATCTGTTGACAAATGAATTTACGGATAAAATTTGGAGAGTGTAGCAATTTCATTGAAAAAAATTTTGTAATATATTCTGTGAAATCTTTATGTAATGTGATATATGAAGACCAAAAAACCAATTTAAAAAACTCTTAAATCTCAGTAACAAACAAAATACATTAATTATAGAATCACTATAATATTTAAATAAACCTAAAGAAATAAAACAATGATTTAAACAAATGTTATTATATACTGCCTAAACTTAATATTCAATGGAAAGTGGAATTTCCTTTCTCAGGTCAAACAAGTTTAATCTAGTACAGTATATCATTCTAACAGGAATCTGGAAATAAGACTTTCCAATTAATTTAAAAACAGCTACAGAAATGTAGCTATAAAATATTTCAATGTGAATGCTGTAACATATTAGTTATTTAATTAAAATGAGAAACACTAATTAGAAAAAAACAAAATAAGGTTTTTTCCATGGCGTGCCACCAAATTCGCCAACTGAAGGCTTCAGAAATTTAATCTGTTAATATTTAGGCTGAATGAAAACAAAATAATACAAAAAAACTACTGGTACTTTAAAATGTCAGTATATTGTACATCAGTAAAGTATATAAGTTGTACATACCATCTAATTTTGGCTTGAAGAAATAAAAAAAAAATACAACAAAATTCATGATTTTGCACTCTGCAAAAAATCATTATTTTTTGTCTCAAACATTTATGAGGTAAAAAAAAAATATTTTTTTTGTTAGTGTTTTTTATTCAGCATTAAAATGAAACTACATATATATCTGATCAATTACTTTGCTTGCAACACTGTACTTTTCAAGAAGTCTGTATCCAAAAGCAGTTCTTTACTCACCGGGTTGTTCTTTCCTGTAATTTTTTTTTTCATTTTTTCTTTTTTGTGAAGTGCTGTGGAGAAAAATTAATTAAATATGCTACTTTATATAAATCTAGGATTCTCAATAAGTATGACAATTAATGGTTAGCAAAACAAATTGTGAATGGTTGTAGGACAGGCTATCTAACCTTAAAATTGTAAAAATTATTTAACCGCCGATTTGCTTGTGACGAAATCCAGATGCCAAAAAATTGAGTTGTTATGCTGTCTTTTGCAATGAGTTCATAAGAAATAGCGGCAGCATAGTGATTTAATAATTTATATCGTTTATTTACTCTATCCTGTGACTATAAACCAAGATAATACCACAAACTATAAAAATAAACAATATATATATATATATATTTATATTTATTTATTTATAATATAACAATATTATTTATTTATTATAATATAACATTGAAACCAAAGCCTAATTAGTTGCATAGATAGTATTAGTTGTCTGGTTGTTGGATAGGTGATAGAGTAAGATGCTTATAGCATGTGATGTTGGCAAATTTATCACCATTTAACTTTTATTTACTCACACAGTAGGATAATTGAAACTACTCCTTAACCAACTATAAATACACATGTGCAGTACTTGGAAATACAAAGACTAACCTGGTATTTTAGCAGAGAGATCACTGTCAACAGAATCTGGTACAATTTCATCATCTTTAAAATAAATTTACTATAAGCAGTTTACAACACAGTGAAACAAGTCAAGCAAAACAACACATAATTAGAATTTGAAACTGTTCAAAAACAACAGAAGTGTACGTAAGTCTAGCCTGGTATTTAATTGGAATAAGTACTATTTCCCTGAAAAATCAAGAAGATTGAACCTATGGTTCAAGGTATACAAATATAGGAAGGAAACTTATATTGAGTAAGAAATAGACTGGTTTTGCAATAGTAGTTAAAAGTTTCAATAAGTCTAACAAAACTATTGTTATACTACTGATCATTTTATCACAAAGTTATTCCAAAATGTAAAGATACTTTTGTCTATTTTATCTGTGATGGGCACGTCTCAAAGTTGGCAAGATAGTGGCCAGTCAAAGTGGTTGAGTACCAGTAAAAATGTACTGGTCTGTTAAAAAAAAAAAAAAAAAAAAAAAAAAAACACCTATAGGAAACCTGGATATGTAATGCTATAACAACATCAGTGAAGCAAATTTATTGACACCATTCTTACCATGGTAATATATTCCTTAAATATGTAAAATCTAGGTTAATGTAGGCCATATATGGTCAAAGGGTAATGAAAAAAGGAAATATTAATTAATAGTTATAAAATTTGTTTTAAAAGCAATAAAGTATACAAGTTTAAGGAAAAAAAGGCTAACCTGTTTGCATAGGAGAGACATGACTTTTCTTCACTTGTTTATATCTAAAGTCTAAATAAAGATTAAATAAAATGAAGATCATAAAAAGTTATAACTAATTATATACTGCATTCTAGGCATCTGTTTGGTTAAGAAGCAGGCAATAATTTCAACTATCACTCCTATGAACAAAAGCTAAATAATAAAGAGGTTTTCTAGGTTTAGAAAATTTTGCTTTTTACACCAAAAATAGGCTGTTATGAACATACTGTATATTTATTTTTTTTAATTGAGATACCAAGTGAGTCCTATACTACATAATTCAATCACTTTCACAAGGTTTGGATGGAGTTTGCAGTGTTTTTGGAGGTTTACGGTGTATTTTTCACAAAAAAAAAATTTTTTATGAACATGAACTTATGAGTCCTATAACACATGATACAATCACAATCACGTACTGTAGTTTGGATGAGTTCTACAATGTGATTTTGGAGGTTTGTGGGGTATGCAGGATTTGCGGGATTTAGCAATACCCGCTACGTCTCGCATCACCTCAGGGCGATAGATTTCACCATTTTCTTGATAAGCAGTCAATATTTGCATAATGTAAAATATCAGTTTAATAATTTAAATTTAATATTTGGTAAAGCAGCTTCTTCATAAAAGGCCTTAAAAACAAAATGTTATGTTGGCGTAACCCGAACTACCCTAAAAAAAATAGGCCAACCCTATACATTTTTATTTAAATTTTACAATACAGGTTTACGTGAACAAAGTAGGCGTGGTTAGGTGTCATTCAAAATGTTTTAAAAGTGTTTAATGTCGCGAAAACGGCCGAAATTATCAATTCGCGAAAGTTTCTGGTTTACAGTATCTATTTAGGCTAGGCCTATGTATGAAGATACAGTATATGTAAAAATATCAACTTTTTTTACAGCTCATATCGAATGGGCTTAAAAAACTCTAATACCCTGGAGCGCAATGGCGCTTCGCCCCCTTGACACCCGACCAGGGCTTTGCCCCTGGACCCCGATGGGGGCCTAGGCGCCCCCCCCCCTATACCCCGGCCTATTTCAATTTACTCTCCTGTTACTTTAAAATTTCTCCTGCTACTCAAATTCATAAATAAACCCCTGTTATAGCATGTGATGTTGGGAAATTTATCACCATTTAACTTTTATTTACTCACACAGTAGGATAATTGAAACTACTCCTTAACCAACTATAAATACACATGTGCAGTACTTGGAAATACAAAGACTAACCTGGTATTTTAGCAGAGAGATCACTGTCAACAGAATCTGGTACAATTTCATCATCTTTAAAAATAAATTTACAATTAGCAGTTTACAACACAGTGAAACAAGTCAAGCAAAACAACACATACTTAGAATTTGAAACTGTTCAAAAACAACAAAGTGTACGTAAGTCTAGCCTGGTATTTAATTGGAATAAGTACTATTTCCCCTGAAAAATCAAGAAGATTGAACCTATGGTTCAAGGTATACAAATATAGGAAGGAAACTTATATTGAGTAAGAAATAGACTAGTTTTGCAATAGTAGTTAAAAGTTTCAATACGTCTAACAAAACTATTGTTATACTATTACTACTGATCATTTTATCACAAAGTTATTCCAAAATATAAAGATACTTTTGTCTATTTTATCTGTGATGGGCACGTCTCAAAGTTGGCAAGATAGTGGCCAGTCAAAGTGGTTGAGTACCAGTAAAAATGTACTGGTCTGATAACAAAAAAAAAAAAAAAAAAACCTATAGGAAAACCCTGGATATGTAATGCTATAACAACATCAGTGAAGCAAATTTATTGACACCATTTTCACCATGGTAATATATTCCTTAAATATGTAAAATTTAGGTTAATGTAGGCCATATATGGTCAAAGGGTAATGAAAAAAGGAAATAATAATTAATAGTTATAAAATTTGTTTTAAAAGCAATAAAGTATACAAGTTTAAGAAAAAAAAAAGGCTACCTGTTTGCATAGGAGAGACATGACTTTTCTTCACTTGTTTATATCTAAAGTCTAAATAAAGATTATAAATTAAATGAAGATCATAAAAAGTTATAACTAATTATATACTGCATTCTAGGCATCTGTTTGGTTAAGAAGCGGGCAATAACTTCAACTATCACTCCTATGAACAAAAGCTAAATAATAAAGAGGTTTTCTAGGTTTAGGAAATTTTGCTTTTTACCCCAAAAATAGGCTGTTATGAACATACTGTATATTTAATTTTTATTTATTGAGATACCAAGTGAGTCCTATACTACATAATTCAATCACTTTCACAAGGTTTAGATGGAGTTTGCAGTGTTTTTGGAGGTTTACGGTGTATTTTTCACACAAAAAAATGTTTTTATGAACATGAACTTATGAGTCCTATAGCACATGATACATCACAATCATGCACTGTAGTTTGGATGAGCTCTACAATGTGTTTTTGGAGGTTTGCGGGGTATGCAGGATTTAGCAATACCCGCTACGTCTCACATCACCTCAGGGCGATAGATTTCACCATTTTCTTGATAAGCAGTCAATATTTGCATAATGTAAAATACCTGTATCAGTTTAATAATTTAAATTTTATATTTGGTAAAGCAGCTTCTTCATAAGGCCTAAAAAAATGTTATGTTGGCGTAATCCGAACTACCCTAAAAAATAGGCCAACCCTATACATTTATATTTAAATTTTACAATACAGGTTTACGTGAACAAAGTAGGCGTGGTTAGGTATCACTCAAAATGTTTTAAAAGTGGCCCAAGGGCGAAAAATATGACAATTATAGGCTTTAAAGGCTTATTTAATTGATTTTATAGATTTCAAGGTCCTTGCTGAATATTGTAGATGCAAAAAAAAAAAAAAAAAATCCCTACCTACTGTACCTACCCTATTTTTTGGGGCCTGTTATGCCAACATAACATTTTTTTTAGGCCTAAGAATGAAGTCAACTTCAGATTACAAATACATTTGTGCATTTTTTTTTCCAATGTGTGTTGTTTTCTGGAAAGTTGTAAAATTTGAAAAGCTTGACTCGCTCTTACCATTTTTCTGAAAAAGAAAAAAAAAATTGCTGAATACTGGTAAATGAAAATATGTCCCAGGACATTTTTCTATAAAAAAACTACCTTAAATAAAAACTGTATGTACTAGATTTCTAATAATATTTTTCATAGAAAATTCATCATCCTTTATAATTATAAATCATTTACTAAATTATACAAAATGTAACATAATAATCGAAGCAGTAGCAACAAACCGATTCAGCGATGTTTGTTTACACAACCAGTCACGTGACATAACTTGGGTATACCATCAACATAACATTTTTTTTTTAGGCCTAAGAATGAAGTCAACTTCAGATTACAATATACATTTGTGCATTTTTTTTCCCAATGTGTGTTGTTTGCTTACTTTTTCTGGAAAGTTGTAAAATTTGAAAAGCTCGACTCGCTCTTTCCATTTTTAGTTTTCTGAAAAGAAAAAAAAAATTGCTGAATACTGGTAAATGAAAATATGTCCTAGGACATTTTTCTATAAAAACACCACCTTGAATAAAAACTGTATGTACTAGATTTCTAATAATATTTTTCATAGAAAACTCATCATCCTTTATAATTATAAATCATTTACTAAATTATACAAAATGTAACATAATAATCGAAGCAGTAGCAACAAACCGATTCAGCGATGTTTGTTTACACAACCAGTCACGTGACATAACATGGGTATACCATGGTAAACATCAGGCCAAATAAGAAAAATATTTTGTTGGCCATGCCCGACCGACCGACCCAAAAAGTAAAAAATTGAGTTCGGCATTATGGTTTTTTTTTTCTTTTGTTTTTTTTTTAATGCGCTAAAAAAGCTGAAATAGTCTACCTTGTTGGACGACAGACGATGCAACAGTTTAGCTCTTAAATATACTGTAGATATTAAAAATGGTCCATTTTGTATTTTTGTGTAATTTGTATTTTTAGGCATGATTGGATACAAAAAAAAAGAAAACGTTTTCCTACCGACCCACCCATTTCTTGGATTTCCCAACACAAGAATTTTTTTTTGCCTTAGTGTGCAATTTTCTTCGTAAACTGGGAGACCATGTGAAAAAACGTGAGAAAAAAAATTGACCAGGCATCAGTTTACCAAAACAGGAATTTCCTGGCCAAAACGGGAGTGTTGGCATGTATTGTTTACTACAGTATATCCAACACCCAAAGATAGGTACGTGACGGTCTATTGGCGGGAGTAGTTATATAGGCAAGTCAAGATGGTTAGCAGGACACAAAGCCTTGTTTTACATAATAACGTTAAAGAGAAACATGTTTCAAAAATCGACTTTGTAACATCTATTTCTTTCCAATACTTGAAAGCTAAAAACAACAAACACAATGATTTGGCATTTATTAGGGAATAGGGGCCTAGTAGCCTAGCCTAGTTGGAAGCAAACAGCAGTGCTAACTAACAGCGCTCAATACATTTTGGCACTTGATCAGTGGTTTTAATTAAGGCGGTTTTTTTTACATAGCTGCTTAAAACAACCACTCTTAGGATCACTTTAGTGTTATCTCCGTACATTCTAAGAATAAAAAATGCTTAATAGACCAGCTCAAGTATTGCAAGGTAATATATATATATAATATGGCGACAGTTATTTGTCGCCTTTTTATTTTTGTCACCCTAATATAATGTTTTTATGCATAAAATGTCGCCCACGTATAGCATTAATACAACAAATAATAATAATAATAATAATAATAATAATAATAATAATAAATAATTAATAATTAATAAATAATAAATAATAAATAATAAATAATAAATAAATAAATAAATAAATAAATAATAAATAATAAATATAATAATAATAATAATAATAATAATAAAAATAATAATAAAATATTAATAAAAATAATAATAAAAATAATAATAAAAATAATAATCATTCACCACTTACCACATTTCCTAAAAGTACACACATCATTTACACCGAAAGACAAAAAATAGAAACATCGATCAAATATCAATATGGAAAAACATATTTTCATATTAACAGGAAAAACAAAAGGCTATTATTAGTCAAAATTAAAAAAAATCATACTGGTAGTATACACCATTTTCGCCAAATTTGAAATTAAAATTTCCGATAACCTGGCAACCACCACTGGGGGGGGGGGCTTACAGAGGTCGTCTATAGTTTAAGCCTCCATTGGTAGTGATAGTTGTGATTTTGAATTAGAACCTATCTAATTCAATACATCATGGTTTTCCATTTCCCCCCGTAAATAATGATCTTGTATTTTTTATTTTACAATTATTTTATCAAGGTTTAGAAAAAAAATCTTGAATGTATAATGTTCTAAAAAACTACCAACATTAACATTTAATACAAGTCTGTGTGCAAATGGATCTTTCCAAAGTGTCAATCAAACTTGACAAATTGACCAATCAGAAAAAGGCAAGGAACG